ATACTAGGCTATAGACTAGACCATATACTAGACTATAGACTAGACTACTGACTAAACTAGACTATAGACTAGACTATAGACTAGATTATAGACTAGACTATAGACTACACTATAGACTAGACTATAGACTAGACTATAGACAAGACTATAGATTAGACTACAGGCTATACTATAGAATATACTATAGGCTTGACAATAGACTAGACTATAGATTAGATAATAGACTAGACTATAGACTAGACTATAGGCTAGACTATACTATAGAATATACTACAGACTGACTATAGACTAGAATATATAATAGACTATAGACTAGACTATAGACTAGACTATAGACTAGACTATAGACTAGACTATAGACTAGACTTAGACTAGACTATAGACTAGACTATAGACTAGACTATAGACTAGACTAGACTATAGACTAGACTATATACTAGACTATAGATTAAACTATATGCTGGACTGCAGGCTAGACTATTGACTAGACTATAGAATAGACTAAAGACTAGACTATATACTATAGATTAGACCATAGACTAGACCATAGACTAGACTATAGACCAGACTAGACTATAGATTAGACTATAGGCTATACTATAGAATATACTATAGACTTTAGACTAGATTATAGACTAGACTATAGACTAGACTATAGACTAGACTATAGACTAGACTATAGACTAGACTATAGACTAGACTATAAACTAGACTATATATTAGACTATATGCTAGACTGCAGGCTAGACTATAGACTAGACTATAGACTATAGACTAGACTATAGACTAGACTATAGACTAGACTATAGACTAGACTATAGACTAGACTATAGACTAGACTATAGACTAGACTATAGACTAGACTATAGACTAGACTATAGACTAGACTATAGACTAGACTATAGACTAGACTATAGACTAGACTATAGACTAGACTATAGACTAGACTATAGACTAGACTATAGACTAGACTATAGACTATCCTATAGACTAGACTATAGACTAGACTATAGACTAGACTATAGACTAGACTATAGACTAGACTATAGACTAGACTATAGACTAGACTATAGACTAGACTATAGACTAGACTATAGACTAGACTATAGACTAGACTATAGACTAGACTATAGACTAGGCTATAGACTAGGCTATAGACTACACTATAGACTAGACTATAGACTAGACTATAGACTATAGACTAGACTATAGACTAGACTATAGACTAGACTATAGACTAGACTATAGACTAGACTATAGACTAGACTATAGACTAGACTATAGACTAGACTATAGACTAGACTATAGACTAGACTATAGACTAGACTATAGACTAGACTATAGACTAGACTATAGACTAGACTATAGACTAGACTATAGACTAGACTATAGACTAGACTAGACTAGAGTGTAGACTGGACTATAGACTAGACTATATACTAGACTATAGATTAGACTATATGCTAGACTGCAGGCTAGACTAGACTATAGACTAGACTAGACTATAGACTAGACTAGACTATAGACTAGACCAACGGTTCCCAAAAGGGGGTCCGCGGACCCCTAGTGGTCCGTAGCAAAATCCTAGGGGGTCCGCGAAGACGAACGAAAAAAATCATGAATAAAAAATATTATCTATATGTTAGAAAATATTAAAAATATCTCCAAATTTGTCATAAATACTAAAATACACAATTTTTATTCAATAATCCCAGATTTGTTGGTGACTCTTTGAATTTTATTGTTTCGGTCGTTTATCAGGATGAAGCTAGGCCTTACAAATTTATTGTTTCACTTTTATAAAGTAAAGTATTACGTGATTTGTAATTTTTATAAATGTATATGTATCGAAATAAATGTTTTTATAGCAGACGGATAATGATTTGCCTTAGAATTAAATACTGATACTGGTATCCCAGGTTAGGTCACATTTCATAATATTTTTTTAAATTGTAAGCAAAAGTGTTAATCTAGTTAATTTTAAATATAAATATTCCATTCCGACGTGATACACAGATTTTAACTTCATTTTGTTGTCCAATATTATTAAATCAACATCAGAAAATTCATAGCGTTTTGCGTAAATAGTCAAAACCACGCAGTAAAATAATTCGTAGGTATTTTAAAATTCAAAATTAAGATCCAAATTCACAGTACATTCGCAAAGAGTTCAGGTCATATTTTATGTGGGTAACGCATTCCGCAACAACATCGAAGAAGTCTAACTTTCACATATTTTCTCGAAAACTTAGCTTACATACTCAGCTCACTCCTATGCAATCGCAAAAAAATTTAGAAACATGACTCTTTAAGCACATGTCGACAATACTTGATAAAGAAACCTTTTCTATACCTTGACGAGAAATGAACATGAAAGCTCTCACGATCATAAAATTAAACATCATGTTAGAAGTCATTCTATATTTAAAACCATGCAATTGAAAACATCTCCGATCTCAATGTACGGGAATATTTTATAGGGTTTATGGACCAGGACTAAGACAATTTTCGGACGAACAATTACACAGTGATACAGCAAAAAAATGCAGGGGTTCTCATATACCAATTCCATTTCGTTATAGTCCATAGAGTAGGAATATATTTTTAATTTTTCCCGATCACTTCGTTTAGTTCCTTTTTAAGAGCAAAAGATGTGAAAAAGAGCTATTTTTGAAGTTTTAACTTTAAAAAAATATATTTATGGTAGTTTGCAACCGATTTTCAAATTGGATATTTTGTTTTAAAGATACAAGTGTTGTCTTTCAACCCAAAAAAATAAATCCAAAATTTATGATTAATGTCTTGGTTACGGCCTTTTAAGTAAAAAAACTCACATTTTTTCACAATTTTTAATTTTCATACTGCTCTACGTTGGCCATGAAGCAGTAACTTTAGCTTTTATTACATTTGAAAAAAGGCACATTAAGTTGGGTTTCCAATGATGGTCAATTTATGATAATCGATGAAAAAGGTTATGAGTTGTGCTAAGTTTTATAAAAATATAGCATATTTCTTCCATACAAAAACGTTCATGTTTCTGGTTTTCTTTGTAACAAGTTTAAAAAATGTTTATAAACATTTTTGTACAAAAATTAATTTGTATGGAGAAAACCAAAAATTCGAGGAACATGCTATTAGAAAAATTGGCATAAATCATCCAGTTTTTCATAGATTTTTATGAAATAACAAGTTTTAGAAACCTTCCTTTATGTGATTCTTCAGGAAAGTAATAAAAGATGAACTCACTGCCTCAAGGTCAAAGTAGAGCATGATGAAAATGAAATTTTTTTAAAAAAGTGTGAGTTTCTTTACTTAAACGGCAACACTTGTATCATTAAAAAAAAATATCGGATTTGAAAATCGGATGAAAACTACTACTAAACTTATGATTTTTCAAATTTAAAACTTCAAAAATGGCTCTTTTTCGCATCTTTTGCTCTTAAAAAGTAAGTTAACGAAGTGATAGGGGAAAACTAAAAATATATTCGTACTCTATGGACTATAACGAAATAGAATTGGTATATGAGAACGCCTGCATTTTATTTTTCTTCACTTTTGTATCACAGTGTTATTTATAACAATAAGATATCAAAATATGTATGGGGGTCCGTGAAATTAAATAAATTCCTCAAGGGGTCCGCGAAGTAAAAAACGGTGGGAACCGCTGGACTAGACTATAGACTAGACTATAGACTAGACTATAGACTAGACTATAGACTAGACTATAGAATAGACTATACTAAAGACTAGACTATAGACTAGACTATAGACTAGACCATAGACTAGACTATATATTAGTATGTGGGTTTTGTCTATGTTTGAAATTCTTTCATTTATTAAAACAAGATTAATAAAAAATTAAGAAATTTCAAAACAAGTTTTCTTGAACACGAATTATTGTTGAATTTCAAAGATACCCAGCAAAAAAAAGTGAGGAAAAAGAAGTAGAATTTTCACCACAAATAACATACTTGAAGTACTTCCAATTTTGGTGAAAAACCTATAAATTTTACATTAGCGTGTATTTGGAGGGATATTGTAATTTGAACTACATCTAGTCTTATTCTTTAAATGACTTGCTTATATAAATTTCGTTAGATTTTTATCCAAGTTTTATGTAGTTCGAATATGTTATTTATAGTGACTTTTTCATTTTGTAAGGAAATATTTGGTTTATAAAAGCGAAAAATATGTAATCGCATTTTTGGATGTGATTATGATGTCGTTTGTAAAGTATGACATCAATTATTTTTGCTGGGTATTTTTCCGCATTAATAAATGGTCTTAAGTACAGATTAGAAAATGTCCTACAATAAATCGATTTTCATCACACACTTGGTTATATTCAATTATTTGTTTGCACGTATATATGTACATTTAGATACTTTATTGAAATTTTTTAAAATTTAATAAAATTTCAAAAAAAAACCATAGTTTGACCAGTTCATACCAATGATCACAAGAAGTTCTTCTAAATTACCTAGTACTAGAACGGAGGTAAGTAAACAAAGCTACCATTGGTACGCAGTTTCGTTTAGAAAAAATTAAATCATTTGAATAATAAAAAATTAATTATGTTTAATCAACATAGAAAAATAAATTTAAACATTCATATAGATTAGACCAAGATTTGAAATTATAGTATTGAATACCCAAAAATGGAAAAGTTATTTACCGACAATTTCCCCAACTAATAGGTACAAACCGGCAAGAACCCCATATGTTTTGATTTTCAGAACATACATGAAGATTCAATATAAGGGCAAAAGAAAAAGTTCTAGTTTTGAAAGAAATCGGAAGAATCGTTTTCACACCGAAAATATTACTCTCTTTAAAAACAAGAAACCCAAATGGAGTAAAGCTTAATTCCACCTAATCGACAAACATTCATACAAATCTTTTTAAACAGATATTTTCGAAAATCAACAAACAACACATTCATGTTTAAAAACATTGGAAAAATCAACAGTTCTGTCATAATAAAAAAGTCATTATTATTAGGACCATGTTAAATAATAATTTAATAACTGTTCAATTAAATATAAAAGTACATAACTAGTAAGACAAGAACAAAAAAGCAATAGAATGTTTGTTTGTCCTTGATATTTTCTAGAGTTCTATAATACTCTCTTATTGCCTATTTCACAATCAAGTTAAAAGTTTATCAAAGTTGTATTAAACAAAATTTCCATATAAAATTTTAGTTTTATAAAACTTTTGATAAATTTAAAATTTGTTTACGAATGAGGCCTATATAATCTTACATAAATATCTTGTGCACACTTAGAGAATAAATCAAACAAAAACTAAAATTAATAATATATAGCAGTAATGAATGATAAGTTTTAAGAAAAATTGTTAAAAAGCTTAAGTACGTTCTAGTTGTTGTCGATTGTGTCGCCGTTTATGTAAGTATAAACCAGCCGCCTGGGCAAAAGCTGAACCACATATTTTACAAATATATTTCTTAACAGCATCGTGAATTTGTTTGTGATTTTGTAAATTCTTAATAGATCTAAATACCTTACCACAGATATCGCAGCTGAATTCCTCCTCGTTGTAATGTGACTTGACATGATCCATCATAGTGTTGCGTGTAGTAAACTGTTTAGCGCAGTTGGGATAGTGACAGCGAAAACCACGTCCATCATCTGATCGTGTGGGTGAACTGTTGGCTATTCTGTCGTCTGTTATTAATTCTTCCTCACCATCATCCGGGTTCATAGATGTTAAATCAGGCAATAGAAGTTCGTCATTATGCCTTCGCATATGTTCGTCGAAATTGCTCTTTTCACGAAAACTGGCCGTACACAAGTCGCAATGATATTTAACTTCTTTCAGAGCAGGATGTATTTGCTTATGACGTGTGTATTGTTCTAAATCATTGAAGCCCAGCTGACAAACTGGACAATAGTAGTTGGAGCCACCCATATTTGATCCACCAACTCCAGAGTGGTATAATTTTGATGCTGAAGCTCCAGACACAGGATGAGGTTGCTGTTGTATTTTATGCTGGTGTGTTAGCAAATGGGTGTCCAGTTCACGTGGTGAATTCAAAATCATGGGACAGTGTTCACATTTAAATGGTGCTATATCATTATCCATGAAAAACATAGCCTCATAATAACTGTATGTGGGCGAAAAGGCTCTTCCACTCATTTCACACATTAAACGTTCTTGTTTTTGTTTCGAATAATCAAAACGCAATTGGGAAATACGCTTGGAAATTTGTATAGTTGTTACATCAATATAGCCTACCAATTCATTGACCATTCTTTGAAGGGCTTCTCCACGTTTCTCTTTACTACGATAATCTATATTGTATTTGTCATAGAAGCAAGGATAACATTTCAGTAACTGTAGCATTTTATTGGTAGAAATATCATTCCATAAAGCTGAATAACGTCTGCGATATACGGTTTCCTTAACAACAGCATCCGATATTTTTTGATTACCACCATAGAGACGATTAAGAAAATGTAATTCTTTGAAATACCACAATGTACTGACGTTTGTCTTTTCCAAAGCCATACGATTGCATTCACGTTTATAGACTGTACGTAAATTGTCCCACTTACGAGTGACAGCATCTTTAGCGAGAGTAAGATTGAAACGTTTTTTGAATTCGGAATTTATGTAGTCAATAAATTGACTGCGTCGCACACGATCACGAAATTGTGGGTGACGATGATCCCACAGAAATGTATTACGACGATAGGCGTCAATAAGAAATTGTATCATTTTGCGATCTTTTATATGACTGGTGACGCCAACTGAGGCGGTATTCTGTATTTTGAAATTAATACAGAATTGTTTTAATATATATTTTTTTAATTTTACAAGTTATAATCAACAATTTTATGAAATTTTGGAAAAAAAAATTAGATTTAGAAAATAGAATAACGATGTTCTTGTTCTTAACTTTTGCAGTAATCTATTTTAAATTACACCTTTTTTAAATAAAAAACTTCATGGAATATTCAGGGATTTTTCCTTCCTCTAGAGCTTTAATAACAACAATTATTATTTTTGATAAATAATACAAAAAATATTGGGATTGTATCAGATCCTGGGATTATATTTTTTAAAATTTAAATCCTCGTATTTAAGTCCTTATTTGCGTTTCTAGTTTACAAACAACATTTTGTTTTAAATAAATCCTGCATTTGTATACGACCGGTCCGATTGGGATAAAATTTAAAGTTTTGTGTCATATGTTCTATTTTTTTAATATATTGCTTCTACGTCCTTCCGAATTTGACCTACATTTTATCAAAACTTCTACTTTAGGATACATGTTCTAAAATCTCAAACATGCGGTCAAAAATCAGAAAGCAGTTTTGTAAACAAAGATGTGTTCCCTATTTGGGACCAAAGTACTTTCCCAGACCCATATAAAATGTAGACCCTATGGCAAAATTGTAAAAAATACCATTTTTGGTACTTCTGCTTCAATTCTTTGGAACTGGAATATTTATTTTGGACTTGATAAGTTGTTTTACTGTTTGGTTTTTACCCCCATTATCTCAATGTCTAGTTATATTTTATGGAGGTTTTAATACGTTCATAGGTATCAGGAACAATTTACTCCAAATATATCTCAAACTAATTTTGTTTAAAAAGTTAATTTTTGATCTTACAAAAAACTCCAAGCCAATATCTCAATTAGATTCGGAATACATATATCCATTTAATTCAATTTTGTCCTTTTTCGAAAAGACATATTGATATATCGAAATCTAATAGGTATACTTCTGAATTATTAGCTATCTTATAAAATGTTAAGTTAAAAAAAAAAAAATAATTTCTTTCAAACTTACCTCCAATAAAGATTCTTCAACTAAATCATCATAGTTGGTGTCATCACCATTATTACTTTGTTCTAGGTCATCGTCGTCACCGGCATATTCATCATTGTAACTACCAAATGAGTCACCCATATAACTGGAATCGCCAACTTCCATACTGATTTCCGGATCTGTTTGCTCTTGTTTAACACTGTAATAACCTCCGGTATAATCATCATCATCATCGTTAGCCAAAGGCTCATTTTGTATAAGAGCTCCCTTTAAGAAAAACAACAACAACAAATATTAAAACATATTTAACACAAATACTACTTAAAATTCTCTAACATTTCCATCATCATCCTCATCTATCTTTTCCTCCTTAATCATTACCACCGGTGGCAGTAGCATTGTCGTCAAATCTTCTTCACTATCATGTTCCAGACGTCGTTTAAGTTTACTTCTTTCACCATTGTTTGAGTTACGGCCATAAACACTACCACCACTATTGTCATAGGAAACATGCATTGTTTGCATGTGTTCTATGAAAGCGTCGAAATACATAAATTTCTCCGAACATGTTAGGCATCCAAGCGCAAAATATTGCTGATCCTCTGTAGATGTTATGATGCCGCATTCTTTGGTACAATGGCGAAATATTTCCTCTTCATTTGTGGGTGGATATGTTAGCACACTCATTTTGCTGGAAAATGCCTTTTCAGCTTCCAATTGTTAAATAATTTTCAGAAATTATACAATTTTCCTTGATTGTCCCAATTTTTCACGACATATACACTATTTCTTATCGTTTGTAATAAAGATTTCTGCAATTTTTCTTTGAATTTTATTTCCTTTTTCCAAATTTTCCACAACTGCTTCTTTTTTTCTTGTTCTTATTTTTCTAATACTACTACCAGAAACCTACGCCGACAAACATTAACGACGGCGGTGGCTGACACTAAAATGTTCGGCGGCAGCTTGATAATAGCTGTAAGCCGTTTTTGTCTTCAACTGTGTTTTAAAAATGGTATTAAAAGTTAAATGCCTGAAATTGTGGCATAAACCTGGACTCTTAAGCCTGCTTGTATTCTTAATAATTTAATTCACTTTGGGTACTTTGGATTCATAAGGGATTAGCAGCATCATACATAATTTTTGTAGTGCTACAGCGGAAGAATGACAAATTATCCTTTTTGGTTTTGATTGCCTATTCTACTCGGAACTTTTCGGCGGCGTCGGCAGCTTAAAAATTTTGTCAGCGGCTAGGCATAGTCTTATTTCAGCGAAGGTTTCTGACTAGGGAATGGTAAATCGGCTTCGATTAATCGATTATTGCTGTAAAAAAACGATTATTTTGTGATCGATTCTACACTACCAATTTTATACTGAAATTGATTTTTTGCATCGATTAATCGAATATTTTGCTCTGTAAAATAAAAAAAACATACTTTTTCATTCAAATTTGGTCAAAAACCATGGAAATCAATTAAACTGTCTTAGTTAAAAACTTGACGGTACTAAAGAATGTACAATATTAATTCGCGATGCACAGTGGGGCAGAACGGAAATTTTTTGGAAATACATCTGGTATTTCTATACGGCTAGTCTGATCGGAATAAAATTTGACACAAGCCTAGAAAAGGAGTATTCGAGTTTAAGTTATGAAAATGGATTCCACAAATACTCTAGGGGCAGCGCTATGGGGGCTCAAAGTACATGTAAAGGGGGTACCTTCGACATGTAAAATTTGTAAAAGCGTACCATTTTTTGGTTTCCGCCATTAATCAGAATTTAATTTGAGGAGATAAAAAAACTGACTTATGCGAAATTTTGTCGGATTTGCTTCATAATTTGAAAATGTTTAATACAATGAATTAATAGCTATCTGTACCTCGTTTCTGTAATTTTCTCGAATCGAGAAAAAACTTAAAATATAATAGTCTTCCAGTTTTTAACAGTGTGACTCCGATTATTTTTAAAATGTACTCATTAAAATTTAATAAGAAATTTTCAAATTTCTTGTATTCACCCTGTTTTACACAAGATGATCATGAATTTTTCGACAGATTTTCTCGATGCGAGAATTACAGAAACGGGGCACTGAACTCCTTTGGACAATTTTTGCTAGGACCAATAGGTGAAAAGTTACACTCATTTGAAATGTGTCTGGCCTATTATCCAATAGTACTAACCTTTGTGGCAATTTCATTCAAATCGGAAGACATCGATTTTAAAAATTGGGTCACTTGACACAAAATTGCCCATATTTTTAGATAATTTTCCGATCCAAATATGAAAACTTCTTTATATTTAAGTAATTTTTTTTTAATTATTATTACTTTTTGAAAGCATAATACATACACCTACTTTTTGACCAGATTAAAGATATTACAACTAAAAATTTGTAAACTTATCGAAAATTAAAAACATTAACAGATAAAATCTTTAATTAACTCTCAGTATGGAACAACAGAAACAATTTTGTACTAAAGCTTTTTAGTGACGTAAAATATAGTTTTTTATTATTATTTTGACGATGAGTAATAGCCATCATAAAATGATAATGCAAAAAATATTGATACACATACCCCCTATATAGTAGTCACTAAAAATTCCAAAATATCTTAATAACATTAAGTACGAAAACTTTCAGACCAATAATTACAAATACAGGTAATTTTCTTAAATAGTATTATTGTAATATTTTAAATTTACAATTTTTAGAGAGTACTAACAGTTCATCTTAAATTGTATATGAATTAGTTCCACAATTATCACTATAAACTCATAAAAAATTAAATTCTTATCATTAGCAAACATATTATTGTTTAATTTTTTACAAAAAGCTTTTTCCAACTTATCTTAAGAAACATTAAAGTCAAGAGAAATACATACTATCTTTGTTTTGGGACTGGTGTTATTGACCAGCTATAGGATTTTAAAAAACTCATTAGCCAAGGGCAAGAGAGGTAGAGTAAATTACTCCTCCAACCTATACCAACAGCTGATTAGAGAAGAAAACAAATAAACAAAAAAAAAAAAATAAAATGCAAAACGCAATTTTATTTTTTTATTTTATACTTATTTATTTATATAAATATTTATTTTGTATTGGACAGGAGTTTATCATAGCGCAGTGATTTTTAAATATATTTTAATTATTATTATTCCAAAAGTTCAGCGTTTATTAACATTAGGTGGTGAGGTAAACTGGCTACAAACGGAGCCAATAGCTATTTTGTATGCTCTTCTAACACCTCACTAACACTCTCGGCTGTTATATGTAGATAATTGTAATTAAAGTATAAATTTTAAAAACAATATTTTTTAACAAAAAAAAAAAGCAAAACAACAAAAACAAGTTCTAGGAGTGTTTATTTATACTACTGTACGATATTATGTATTTTTTAAACAGCAGCAATTGAATAAAGCGGTCTTTGAATGGAAATCATTACAAAATTGGTTTTGCAAGTGAGCAGACGATCTTTCGCTACCAAACAAACAAGTAAACAATTTTTTTTTATATATTTGAATATTTTCTCAAGGGGTTGTCCAAGGAGAAGAGATTCCAATAACACACTTTCATTATTTTGTCTGTTTCAAAGGTGATCGTACTAACGTTGTTTATTTTTCCATTTGTAGAACATTTTATTAATAACAACAAAACAAAAATGTCTACAACAAATTCTTATAATGATAAAAGTGTTCACTCGGCTAGCATAGATGAAATACATGAAGTTCCCATGAGTGTTATACATAGACCCATACCCTCCGTACTGGATGAAGAAAAAGTTAAGTCTTTAATGGAAACTATAAAGGTGAGTTTGTTCATAAATTTTTTTATATTCTTTTGCTTAATTGTTTTGTTTTTTATAGAATGAAAAATCCTCCGATCAAGTACAACCCATAGATGTACTTTGGATAAAGGGCTCAAAAGGTGGAAATTATTTTTATAGTTTTGGTGGCTGCCATCGGTTTGAGGACATACACGTTTAAACAGTCCTACCATTAAGGCGGAAATTAGTAAATTCTAATTTATCCGATTTTGATACTTACATGGGTTTCTAGTACTCCCAAGAATTTGGAGTAATTTGTATTGCTCATGATATATAACATGTATGTAAATAGATTTTAAGGCTTGAATGGACTAATATTTTTCTACATATAACTTTACAGTATCAAATCAAAAAATATATATTAAACACGTTGAATAATAAATAATTTGAGAAAATTGTTTTTTTTTTTTAAATTAATCTTAAATAGGAATTCTTTAAATTGCTAGGAAATTGTTTGAAATAAAAAAAGATTACAAAGTATTTAATGAGTCAAAATCAGTGATTTTTTTAAAATTTAATTTTTAAAAAATGTCTTCTTATTTATTTAAATGGACTATCTTTCTATTAGAACCCTTGCATTGAGTACTTATTGTACCACAATGAGTGATCATTCAAATCAGCATTCTGGTGAGCAGAAGAGGCAAAAGGGAGGGCGAAAAGGGAAGGGGCGAAAAAAGGGGGGGCGCGGAGAGGAGGAGGAGGCGAGCGAGCAAGCGAGCGAGCGAGCGAGCGAGCGAGCGAGCGAGCGAGCGAGCGAGCGAGCGAGCGAGCGAGCGAGAGAGCGAGCGAGCGAGCGAGCGAGAGCGAGCGAGCGAGCGAGCGAGCGAGCGAGCGAGAAGCGAGCGAGCGAGCGAGCAGAGAGCGAGCGAGCGAGCGAGCGAGAGAGCGAGCGAGCGAGCGAGCGAGCGAGCGAGCGAGGAGCGATAGAGCGAGCTGAGCGAGGCGCGAGCGAGCGAGCGAGCGAGCGAGCGAGCGAGAGCGAGCGAGAGCGAGCGAGCGAGCGAGCGAGAGCGAGCGAGGCGAGCGAGCGAGCGAGCGAGCGAGCGAGCGAGCGAGCGAGCGAGCACGAGCGAGCGAGCGAGCAGCGAGCAGCGAGCGAGCGAGCGAGCGCGCACGAGCGAGCGAGCGAGCGAGCGAGCGAGCGAGAGAGAGCGAGCGAGCGAGCGAGGACGAGCGAAGCGAGCGAGCGAGCGAGCGAGCGAGCGAGCGAGCGATCGAGCGAGCGAGCGAGCGAGCGAGCGAGCGAGAGCGAGCGAGCGACGAGCGAGCGAGCGAGCGAGCGAGCGAGCGAGCAGGAGCGAGCGAGCGAGCGAGCGAGCGAGCGAGCGAGCGAGCGAAGCGAGCGAGCGAGCGAGCGAGCGAGCGAGCGAGCGAGCGAGCGAGCGAGCGAGCGAGCGAGCGAGCGAGGAGCGAGCGAGCGAGCGAGCGAGCGAGCGAGCGAGCGAGCGAGCGAGCGAGCGAGCGAGCGAGCGAGCGAGAGAGCGAGCGAGCGAGCGAGCGAGGAGAGCGAGCGAGCGCGAGCGAGGAGCGAGCGAGCGAGCGAGCGAGCGAGAGCGAGCGCGAGCGAGAGCGAGCGAGCGAGCGAGCGAGCGAGCGAGCGAGCGAGCGAGCGAGCGAGCGAGCGAGCGAGCGAGCGAGCGAGCTGCAGCGAGCGAGCGAGCGAGCGACGCGAGCGGAGCGAGCGAGTGAGCGAAGCCGCGAGCGAGCGAGCGACGGAGCGAGGCGAGCGAGCGAGCGATGCGAGCGAGCGAGCGAGCGAGCGAGCGAGCGAGGCGAGGGATCGAGCGAGCGAGCGAGCTAGCGGAGCGAGCGAGGAGCGAGCGAGCTAGCGAGCGAGCTAAGCGAGCGGAGCGAGCGAGCGAGCGAGCGAGCTAGCTAAGCGAGCGAGCTAGCTAGCGAGCGAGCGAGGTCGAGCGAGCGTAGCTAGCGAGCGAGCGAGCTAGCGTAGCGAGCGAGCGAGCGAGCGAGCGAGCGAGCGAGCGAGCGAGCGAGAGGCGAGCGAGGAGCGAGCGAGCGAGCGAGCGAGCGAGCGAGCGAGCGAGCGAGCGAGCGAGCGAGCGAGCGAGCGAGCGAGCGAGCGAGCGAGCGAGGAGCGAGC